AAGGGAAGCGATATGAATGCATGGAATGTGGAAAGACCTTTAGTAGGAAAAGAGTTCTGATTCAGCATAAAACTATCCATACAGAGGAGAAGTTATATCAATGCATGGAATGTGGAAAGACCTTCTCTTATAATAGTTCTTTTATAAACCATCAAAGGAATCACAAAGGAGAAAGACCTTATAAATGCATGGAGTGTGGAAAGAAGCTTTACTTGCAGTAGTAGTCTCAATTCCCATAAGAAGATCCACACAGGAGAGAAGCCATATCAATGCAAGGAATGTGGAAAGACCTTTACATGTAGCAGTAGTCTCAATTCCCATAAGAGGATCCACACAGGAGAGAAACCATATCAATGCATGGAATGTGGAAAGACCTTCTCTCATAATTACTCTCTTATAATCCATCATAGGAATCACAAAGGAGAAAAACCTTATAAATGCATGGAATGTGGAAAGAGCTTTACTTGTAGCAGTAGTCTTAAGTTTCACAAGAGGATTCACACAGGAGAGAAGCCATATCAATGCATAGAGTGTGGAAAGGGTTTTAGCAAGAGTAGTCATCTTACCTCCCATAAGAGGATCCACACAGGAGAGAAACCGTACCAATGTATGGAGTGTGGAAAGACCTTCTGTTATTCTAAGTCTTTTATAATGCATCAAATGAATCACAAGGAGAAAGACCTTATAAATGCATGGAGTGTGGAAAGAGCTTTACTTGTACCAGTCATCTTAATACCCATAAGATGATCCACACAGAAAAGAAGCCATATCACTGTGTCGAGTGTGGAAAGACCTTCTGTTATAATCGTTCTCTTATAATCCATCAAAGGATTCACAAAGGAGAAAGACCATATCAGTGCATGGAGTGTGGAAAGAGCTTTACTTGTACCAGTAGTCTTAATTCCCACAAGAGGATTCACACAGGAGAGAAGCCATATCAATGCATGGAGTGTGGAAGGACCTTTACTTTTAACAATCATCTTGATTCCCACAAGAAGACCCACACAGGAGAGACACCATATCAGTGCATTGAGTGTGGAAAGAGGTTTAGTAGGAAATATGCTCTGATTCACCATAAAACTATCCACACAGGAGAGAAGCCATATCAATGCATGGAGTGCGGAAAGACCTTCTGTTATTATGATTCTCTTACAAGACATCAAAGGAATCACAAAGGAGAAAGACCTTACAAATGCATGGAGTGTGGAAAGAGCTTTAGTTGCAGCAGACATCTTGATTCCCACAAGAAGATCCACTCAGGAGGGAAGCCATATAAATGTGTTGAATGTGGAAAGGGCTTTAGGTGGAATTCTGCTCTTACCACACATAAAAGGATCCATACAGGAGAAAGACCGTATCAGTGCATGGAGTGTGGAAAGAGCTTTACTTGTGTCAGTAGTCTTAATTCGCACAAGAGGATCCACACAGGAGAGAAGCCATATCAATGCGAGGAATGTGGAAAGACCTTTAGTTGTAGTAGTAGTCTCAATTCCCATAACAGGGTCCACACAGGAGAGAAACCATATAAATGTGTGGAATGTGGAAAGGGCTTTAGGTGGAGTTCTGCTCTTACCGCACATAAAAAGATCCACACAGCGGAGAAGCCTTATCAGTAAAGGGAAGTGTGAGAAGTGCTTCAACAGAAATCTAGGGAGTCCTCGGCGTATTACTGCAATTGAGGCCAAAATTTCTATTGCTGAGAGAGACAGTTATTAAGTGAGTTTTGCTGCATTTTATGACTTTTCTTCCTACAGTGAATCACTGTTGATAAGTTAGTAACTCTGTTGTGAAATGAATCTGGCTTTCCTATTAACTTTACTTGCTACAAAATCACAAAAGGTGATCACATGGTCTGGGAACACTTCAACTGTCATAAATATGAGTCAGTTGCCAAGCATCTGAAATTTGATCTGATGACCATGGGGATGCTGCAACAGTCATAAGTTTGAAAAATGGTCATAAGTCACTTTTTTCAGTGCTACTGTGACTTTTAACAATCACTAAATAAACTGTTGTAAATTGAGGACTAACTATAATTGTCTGGGCTCCAAGATATAATATTTTCCTGGGCTCCAAGATCACCGCAGATGGGGACTGCAACCAAGAAATTAAAAGACACTTGCTCCTGGGGAGGAAAGCTATGGCAAATCTAGACAGCATACTAAAAAGCAGAGACATCACCCCGCCAACAAAAGTGCATATATGTTTTTTCCAGTTGCAATGTATGGCTGTGAAAGTTGGACCATATGAAAAGGCTGAGCGCCAAAGAATTGAGGCCTTTAAACTATGGTGCTGGAGAAAACTCCTGCGAGTCCCTTGGACTGCAAGCCAATCAAACCAGTCAGTACTAAAGATCAACCCTGACTGCTCTTTAAAAGGCCAGATCCTGAAAATGAAACTCAAATACTTTGGCCACCTAATGAGAAGGAAGGAATCACTGGAGAAGAGCCTAATGCTGGGAAAGATTGAGGGCAAAAGAAGAAGGGGACAACAGAGAACGAGGTGGCTGGATGGAATCACTGAAGCAGTAGGCGTGAGCTTCAATGGATTCCAGAGGATGGTAGAGGACAGGAAGGCCTGGAGGAACGTTGTCCATGGGATCGGACACGACTTCGCAACTAACAACAACAACATAATTGTCTAATATCCCATGCAAGGACCATTTGAGTAATAATACAAATAAATTGTAGACCTTAGATATGCATGCATAAATTACCTTTCTAGTGCAAACCAGAACAAGGTGGATCCCTAATCCTGCTTGTAGTTTTTGCCATGTTCAAATAATCAAAGGACTTTTGTGCATGTAGAAATATTCCTGTTTTTCATTATATTGTTTCAAATATTCCAAAATATCAAACACAATTATCACATTATTCTTCAAGTATCTTTTAGGTTAAAAAAAACCTAATACCTCTTGCTGATGCTTCAGTATTTTTATTCTGGTATTCAGCCAAGTATCTGGACCTACCTCTTTTTCTGTCTGTTCTATCTTTCTATCCCTGCTTGTCGTTCGAAGGCTAGAATGAAAAGTCTGATTTCTGCATCCAGAGTATTGGTTGTTGCTTGCCATGACTTGTAGTTTGTGAGTGCCAAATCCCTTCCTTTAGCAGCTACCATTTGTTTTCATACATGGTACTTAATGGGTCCCATGAGTCAGAAGCAATCCCACCACTGCCACCAATTTGTCATGGGTTCTTTTTAAACCATACTCAATCTGATTGACTTGAGAGCAAAAGATCCATCAAAAGTATGGATTTTAGACAATTTAAACTTTATGTCTCCTATAAGAGCTGTGGAGAAGTCTATTTTGAAAAAATATCCAAGATACAAAAGTGAAACATACAAATCACATATACGTTCTTACTATGTTTGTTCTCTTATGTGAGTTATTTAGTATATTGATACTATATGATGTTCTCTGTAATATACTATCACTATATTATATACTATTTCCTACCTATACTATATAATATTTCTTCTGCAACTATATTGTTAACTGTTGCTACTATACTTATGGAATGGAATGGCATTCTTTCTTGGCCAAGTGTAATTGCGCACACAATAAATTTGTCTCTGGTGCATAAGCTCTCATTGTGCAGCGATGTACACTGTAGTACTATACAACAATATTTTTACTCTTACAGATGCTGGTCTGTCTTTAAATAGAGGAGTTTCCTCTATTATGTTTCTTTTTTATTAATGGACAGCAGATAAAGCGCTGGCACTTTACCAACATTGGGCTTGGGTTATGTGATGTCACACTTTATGACCACATCACTTAGGGATGGAAGTTCTGATCCAAATTCTATTTCTTAACCAGGGGTGGGTTCTACTTACCTTTACTACCATTTTGCAATGGAGCTGTGCACATGCACAGAAGCGTTTTGGTGGCATCAGGGTCGGTGGACGGAGCCTCCCGCCGGTTTTACTACCGGTTCTATAGAACCGGTGCGAACCGGGGGAAACCCACCACTGTCCTTAACCAAGGATTACAGGTGGTCCACAACTTTTGACCATAATAGAGCCCAGAATTTATGTTGCTAAGAAATTTAATAAGTGAGGTTTTCCCCATTTTATTCTTCTTGTCACATTTGTTAAGTCAGTGGAATTATTAAATTAGTAACATGGTTATTAAGTGAATCTGGCTTCCCCATTGACTTTGCTTGTCAGAGTGTCGCAAAAGTGAATAATGTGACTCCGGGACACTGCAACCATCATACATGTGAGTGACTTGTCAAACATCCACATGTAAATCATGTTACCATGCTTCAGTGGTGATAAGTGTGAAAAATGGTCATAACTCACCTTTTTCAGTGCCATTGTAAGTTTGAACGGTCTCTAGACGAACTGTTCTAAGTTGACGACTATCTGGGAATTCAACATAATTCAAGCAAGAGTAACAGAACAAAATCAAACATATATCTGTGTATGATATGAAAAAAGTTTCAGGATGACCTAATTCCTATCAAAAGAGACCAGAATGAGAACTGAAATCCATGTTCAAAAACACTTTTTGAAGCATTAGAACCATTATGCTGCAGTGGTTAGAATGCAGTATTGCAAGCTATTTCTGCTGACTGTCAGTAGTTGGATTGTGCCCGGAAGGTTGATTCAACCTTCCATTCTTCTGTGGCCGGTAAAATGAGGACTCAGATTGTTGGGAACAATACACCGATTCTGTAAACTGTTTATGAAGTGTTGTAAAGCACTGTGAAGCGGTATATACTTTTAACTGTTATAGCTATTGCTATTTTGTCTTTCTATGAGATGATAATAAGGAAATCTCTAAATTCAATTTAAATAAATTGTATTTAATTAAAGTTAATTGGATTTTAATTAGAATTTAATAACAATTTTGGATATAAATAAAATTAAATATCACTGGTATGGTTATTCATGAGACAATTTTAAATTCTAGTGTATAAAAAATTAAACTTGGAGGAAAACATTTGAAAGGATTTGGAGTGGGGGGAATACTTCATGTTTTCAGAGACTCAGGCTACTTTGGAGCTATTTATTCAAATAGTGGTCATTTATGATTCTGGATTAAAACAGGTGAAAGGGCACCAATTTTGGTTTAGTAGCCATGATCTCAATTTTTTCTCTTACAGATGACTGATAAAAGTGGGCTCAAAAGAAGCAGGCTTTTGGCAAGAGAGATATTAATTCCATTCTTTTTCAATTGCTTCTTAACTTAATTTCCCCATTTCTTTATTTCATTAATTTAGATAAATCTCTTTGTTGTTCTTGCACTATCACCTCCAAATCCACACTTCAAATCATGGCAGTCTTCAACTCTTTTACCTAGAAGAAAATTGGTACTTTGTTTGGTCTGGTTGACTGACATTGTCTTTCAACATCCTACTCATATTTCCTGAGCTGTCTTCCCTACTGAAAAACCGAAACGAAACCATTTTTTTTTACCTCATGGAATTTGAGCTTTATGTGTACTTCTCAAGATTTGCCTTCCTTCATTTTGTAATCCACCTTTCCTCCAGTCACCTATGAAGCACCATTCATCTCTCCATCATGGCGCCTTGTTTTGAGGTAAAATTTCTAAAACTTCCATGAGTTTGAGTTTTGTCTCCATTTTGGAACTGGTTTCCTTTTGATGCCCCTTTTTCAAGCTAGATAGTTTCTTCTGGATTCTTCCCATTTTTGCTGCCACAACTTGCTGTTTTGAACCTCTGTTAGCTGCCCAGAGGCATGAATTTGAAAAGGCAGCTGAAATAATGGAAATAAAATATCAATACAAATCTTAACTTTCCTAAGCCTTCACTTCCCATCCTGTGACTCTGTCGGCCCTCTTAGTTTCCCTCACTTCAGCGCTGAGATTGCCAACAACCACATGACGCAACCTGGGCTTCAAAGAGAGGCTCCTGTTCCTTTTTCAGCCTCCACAGAGATTTTCCCACACAGTTGTTAGACATAAAGAAACGGAAAGCCTAGAAATTGCTGCCTGCTGAAGACAGGCAATAGTAGAAGGAGCCTCTCCTTCTACTCCAATGCCCATCATCCCAGGCCCGCATGGAACATGACAATCTGCCCTTCGCCCTAGCAGGGTCCATATGGCGTTGCATGCTGGATCCACCAGGCGGCTCCCCAGGTAGCCGTTAGAAAGGCAGGGGGGCCCTCACCCGCTTCAGGAGGAAACTGAGCATGCGCTCTTTCAACCAGGTCCGAGACTCCCGGGGCATTTTGCAAACAAGGCTGAAAGCGCGTCCGCCCCTTCTACAGTGCCCGATTCTCGTTCCGCGCCCCCCGCCCCTCCCTCGCTACGAGCCTTCGGCCCAGCCTTTCCAGCAGTCCAAGAGGCTTGAAAGGAAGCCTTGCACGGAGGGAGATCAAGACCTGACTCCGGAGTTGAGTAAGTGGGGAGGGACTTTTTCTTCCACGGGCTGGACCGTGCGTGGAGACACGCAAAACTTCATCAAGTTCGGAGTCCTGGAAAGTGGGGAGCCCCTTGTCCCATGTTCCCCTGCCGCCCCTGTGCATGCATGCACGGGCGAGGCAGGGAAGAAATCAAAAGCTACGGTCCCGCTACGTTTCCTCCAGGAGGGAAATCGGGACCTCCAGAAAAGTCGGAGTCATTCAGGATTAGGCGAAAAGTGAGAAACCTCTTTCCGGGAGATGCCTGAATCAAAATGTTAGGTCGTAGCTCGTTTATTGATCCGGGTATTATTCTGTTTGCATTGAATCGTGGTTTGTTGATTGCGATTTCTCAGCTACCCATAGCGGTTTGGGCCAGGAGGTTAATGGGGTTCTGCTATCTAGTAGCAGCACTTACAATATAAAGTTATACTGGACCTTCAAATATTAATTAATTTACCTGTTAAATCGATTGAGAAAGCAGCTCATCACAATGGCTGTTTGTGACCTGAGATATTGATCATCTGAATTGTACAGAGGTTGTTTTTAATGTAGCAAGCAGCCATCAAAATTATTTGAATAAATAAGTAGGAATTAGAAATCAAAAACATATTTTAAATGTATACATCCAAAGTTTTTAGTCCATGATTGAAGTTGATACAGAAGGTTGCTACAGAATTTTTTCCACACACAGATATGTTAGTATACCAACTAGGAATATTTCCCCCCCCCTCTTTCCAGATATTGTTAATTTCTTATTTGGGTTTTTGTGGATGCTCAGTTATTAAGTTCGTCAGCCTGTCTTACTGGAAGTTTCTTTTGTTTTCCATTTCAGATATATAACTTGGAAATCTTTCCTGGTTCCCTTGGAGTCTGAAGTATCTTGTGTGGGAAGAGGGCTGAATGGCCTTTAGGAGATTTGGCCAGACATCCTCTGATTAGTAAAACTTGGGAGATCCATCCATCCATTTTGGAGCTGGATTAGAATACCAGAGAAATGATGGAGGGACAACATCCACCAGATCCAGGAGTTGCAAAAGGCCCTCCAGTTACTCAGCCTTGGAGCTGTGAGGAAAATGGGGCAAGTTCTGGGCAGAAGAGCCAAGAAGAGGAAGCCAACAGTTCAGAGGTTCAATGCTGTGACTTCAGAAAAGTGCAGTTCCAGGAGGGGAAGAGTCCCCGAGATGTTTGCAGTCAGGTTCACCACCTTTGTCATCAATGGCTGCAGCCGGAAAGACACACAAAAGCTCAGATGCTGGACTTAGTGCTCCTGGAGCAGTTCCTGGCTGTCCTTCCTCCAGAGATGGAGAAATGGGTGCGAGAGTGTGGAGCACAAACCAGTTCCCAGGCGGTGGCCCTGGCCGAAGGCTTCATCCTGGCCCAGGAATCGGAAAAGATGCAGGTGTGAGAATGTAATCATTTCAGGTGTAAAGAGAATCTCTCTGAATTTGTCAATTCCTTTTTGGTAGCGTTTTCTGGGATTATTAATACCTAAGGACAGTTGTTCCCTTTTTCTTCCAGAGGATGTGTTTGGGGCAATTCTTCCATTCTCTTTTGACTTTTGCAAATGGGACAGTGGGATCTGCTGGTTTAAAAGTGCACTATGATAATTCCTTAGTGCTCTTTCTTTGTTTCTCATATCACATCATGTCCAGAAATCCTTGGAAGCTGTGACTGAGTATCCCAAGGGGAGGAAAGATTCATTCAGATCTTCTCAAGAGCTGCTGTTCAGGGAGACCTTACACAAAGATCAAAGCCAGGACACAACTCCAGGTAAGAAAAGGTCTTTCTGTGTGATGTGAGATTTCAACATTTATCTGATTCTTCTGCTCCTCTTGATTGAAATCTCTCTCTTTAACAATTCTGCTTCCACCATTTTCCTCTTTCTCACAGAGAGTAGAAAACTGTCCTTGGAATTTTTTGAATCACTTCATCTTTGTGGTGGAGCTAAAGGATTGGCTGAACCACTATTTCAGGTAAAGAGGAGAAACATCAGAAAAGGTTTCATTTTGTTCTGGAGTTCAATGTAATAAATCGCTGTTTCCAAGCAATATGAATCTAATATTAGATTCATAATTCATATTTACCTTAGCGTATCTTTCTCTTCTGAGGGATTCTATCGTGAGGCACTTTCTCCACCCCTCCTGCTTCACAGTCAGATTTCGTTGACCAGACTGTTTCATCTCTTTCTCCCAGGGTCATTCACACATACCATTAGAAAAAAATACTTTTTTTTTTGCCTTTTCAAAAGTATCTTTGGGACAACCATGACCTGGTGATTGAGAATCTCCGTAGAAATATCCTGTTACAAGCTCTTCCAACACCTTCTTGAAGGTGTGGAGTTGGGTTACATTTGCCCCTCAGTGGATAAAGTAAAGAAAGTAAGTAAGTAAGTAAGTAATAAAGGGCAAAAATGTCAAGTAGGTTTTGCCAGTATTTGACATTACCCACCCTAGGAAGAATTGGAGCCACTGATAACTAGTGAATTTAAGACCCAACTACCAATTGACCAAGAAAAATATTTTTATTGGCTACACTGAAAGGCATTCCAATTACTTCCAACATGATCCGATGCGCTTCAGTTGTGCCGTCAGTCAAAAGCACTGAGATCTCATTCTGAACTCTGCACAAGATGCCCATTTTGTTCACTGGATCTCACTCCTTGAATTGGTAAAAGAAAACTGTCAAATTATTCTTGGGATTATCTGTTAAAATGAAAACTTGTTCCCTTCTTTAGGATGTTGTGTCTTTTGAGGAAGTGGCTGTGCATTTCTCCAAGGAGGAGTGGTCTCAACTGGACTCTGATCAAAAAGCACTCCATGGAGAAGTCATGCTGGAGAATTCCAGAAATCTGGCTTCTCTGGGTAAGAAACCCTATCTGTGCTCAGAAACATAGAAAAATCATGGGGTGGGGGGGCTTAGACGTTATTAAAAAATAGATTAAGTGAAATAAGTGATTTAAAGAAATCATTTATTTGTATCCTGCCTTTATTTTTTTGGAAATAATAAAAGCAGTAGACAAACCCAATATTCCTTCCTCCTGCTGTTTTCCCTACAACAAGAACCTTGTGACATGGGTTGAGCTGAGAGAGACTGGCCCAAAGTCACCCAGCCAGTATTCATCCTAAGGATGATCTAGAACTAACTGATCTAGTTTCTAGCCTGGTGCCTTAACCATTTGACCTAACTGACTTTAAGGAAATTTATTGAAAGAAAACTTAGAAAACTGCATATCCCTGTGATGGCGAACCTATGGCACGGGTGCCACAAGTGGCACATGGAGCCATATCAGTGGGCATGCGAGCTCAGCTCCGGCACACATGTGTGTGCCGGCCAGCTGATTTTCGGGCCTTCTGGGCCCACCAGAAGTCAGGAAAATGCTGTTTCTTGACTCCGGAGGGCCTCTGGTGTGGGGGTAGGGGAGGCCGTTTTTGCCCTCCCCAGGCTCCTAGAAAGGCTCTGGAGCCTGAGGAGAGCGAAAAACGGGCCTACCGGGCCCACCATGCCATCACATGCCAAAAGCAGGGGGGAGCACGGGGGGGCGGGACACATAGAATTATGGATGTGGGCATGTGTGCGTGTGACCCCTTTGCGCTCCCCCTGCTTTTGGCACGTGATGGCAAAAAGCTTAGCCATCACTGGCATATCCTCTCCTTTTTACATAAAGAATTTTTTTTTTAATCTTTTCTGCTCATAAAATACAAAATATTCATTTCCATGCCACAGAAGATATTAGCAACAGTCTGAGCATTAGGCTGCACATAGAGATGGGGTGGCCTCTCTTGAGCAAGGTCCTGAATACCAGGGTTTGGTATTCACTCCTGAACCTCTGCTCTAGATCCCCGATGGCCCTAAGCTGATATAACCAAAACTGGATGGGTCCTGAGTAGGATGTCCCTTCTATGAGATGTGCCCACTTGTGTACCAAGTTTGCCCTCAGCCTAATTGAGGGTGGGGGCTATTGCCATCCAGAAATTCCCCTTGGCTTTGAAAGATTCTGCTCTGCAGACAAGTGATGAGACTTCCAATGAAGTTGGGGAGCTGGTAGGTATGTTGTTGACTCAGCATGATACCGTGTCCAGTGGACTTCAGGAGGTTGTGGCACCATAGAATAGTTCCACGTCAAAGATCAGGGTTGTGTTATATTCATAGTGATGTGATCCAATCTGGTTATATGAATATCAGTAGGGATACATTTGGAAGTGAGTCCTTGCTAAAGTCCTGGTTTGGAATCATGTTTGCCAACAAAGCAGGCAAAATATATTGATGATTATTTGGCTAAAATTCATAAGAAAGGGTTTGATTGTTCCACTATTCTTGCTATAATTTTCATTTTCCTTTTTTAAGGCTATAATGGGCAGGAGAATAAGAATTGCAAGAAGGAATGCCAAGCGATCCATTCAAAAGAGGGGAAAGGGAAATTATATCAATACATGGAGAGCTTTAGCAGGAAAAGAGTTTTGATTCACCATAAAACTGTCCATACAGAGGAGAAGCCATATCAATGCATGGAATGTGGAAAGACCTTCTCTTATTATAGATCTCTTATAAGACATCAAAGGAATCACAAAGGAGAAAGACCTTATAAATGTATGGAATGTGGAAAGAGCTTTACTTGTAGTAGTGGTCTCAATTCCCATATGGGGATCCACACAGGAGAGAAACCATATCAATGCATGGAGTGTGGAAAGAACTTTATTTCTAGTGGTTGTCTTAATTCCCATAAGAGGATTCACACAGGAGAGAAGCCATATCAATGCAAGGAATGTGGAAAGACCTTCTCTCATAATTACTCTCTTTTAATTCATCATAGGAATCACACAGGAGAGAAGCCATATCAATGCATGGAGTGTGGAAAGGGTTTTAGCAAGAGTAGTCATCTTGCCTCCCATAAGAGGATCCACACAGGAGAGAAACCGTATCAATGCATGGAGTGTGGAAAGACCTTCTGTTATTCTAAGTCTTTAATAATGCATCAAATGAATCACAAAGGAGAAAGACCTTATAAATGCATGGTGTGTGGAAAGAGCTTTACTTGTATCAGTCATCTTAAGACTCATAAGATGATCCACATAATAGAGAAGCCATATCGTTGTGTCGAGTGTGGAAAGACCTTCTGTTACAATCGTTCTCTTATACTCCATCAAATGATTCACAAAGGAGAAAGACCATATCAATGCATGGAGTGTGGAAAGACCTTTACTTGCAGTAGTAATCTCAATTCACATAAGAGGATGCACACAGAAGAGAAACCATATCAGTGTAAGGACTGTGGAAAGATCCTTACTTCTACCAGTAGTCTTAATTCCCACAAGAAGACCCACATAGGAGAGAAGCCATATCAATGCATGGAATGTGGAAAAAGCTTTAGTAGGAAATACGCTCTGATTCACCATAAAACTATCCATACAGAGGAGAAGCCATATCAATGCATGGAATGTGGAAAAACCTTCTGTTATTATGACTCTCTCATAAGACATCAAAGGAATCACAAAGGAGAAAGACCTTATCAATGCTTGGAGTGTGGAAAGAGCTTTAGTTGCAGCAGACATCTTGATTCCCACAAGAAGACCCACTCAGGAGAAAAGCCATATAAATGTGTTGAATGTGGAAAAGGCTTTAGGTGGAATTCTGCTCTTACCACCCATAAAAGGATCCATACAGGAGAAAGACCGTATCAATGCATGGAGTGTGGAAAGACCTTTACTAGTAGCAGTAGTCTTAATTCCCACAAAAGGATCCACACAGGTGAGAGGCCATATAAATGTGTGCACTGTGGAGAAGGCTTTAGAAGGACTTGTGACCTCACTTCCCATAAAAGAATCCATACAGGAAAAGAAACCATATGAATGCATGAAGTGAGGAAAGAGATTTGCAAGGAGTAACACTGTCACTTGCCATAGAAGGATGACTACCCTATGGATAAAGGAAATTTGAGAAGAGCTTCAATAGAAATGCAGGTAGTCCTCAAGTTTGTGACTGCAATTCATCCCAAAATTTCTGTTGCTAAGAAAGATAGTTGTTAAGTGACTTTTACCCCATTTTACTATTTTTCTTGCCACATTTGTTATCTGGATAACTTAGTAAAACTTGTTAAGTGACTCTGGCTTCCCCATTGTCTTTGCTTGTCAGAAGGTCGCAGAAAGTGATCACACAACCCTGGGACACTGCAACTGTCATAAATATGAGTCGGTTGTCAAACATTTGAAGTTTTCTCAGGTGGTCATGGGGATTCTGAAACGGTGATAAGTGTGAAAAATGGTCATAAATCATTTTTTTTCAGTGCTGTGTAACTGAACAATCACTAAATGAACTGTTGTAAATTGAAGACTTCCTATAGTTGTCTAAAATCTCATGCAAGGACCATTTGAGTAATAATCCAAATAAATTGGAGTCCTTAGATGTGCATCCATAAATTGCCTTTCTAGTGCAAACCAGAACAAGGTGGATCCCGAATCCTGCTTGTGGTTTTTCCAAGTTCAAATAATTCAAAGGCCTTTTTTGCATGTACAAATATTCTGGATTGTTTTTCATTATACTGACTGTTTTTCACCACCAGCCCATGGTGAGTTAAGTGATGCCGTGTCTTTCTCGCAGTGCCTGGAGGCTGTTAGGGGTTGGATGGGGAGCAATGGGTTGAAACTAAACTCTGGCAAGACCGAGTGGCTCTGGGTTTGGGGTTCTTTGGCTCAGGGAGAATTGCCATCTTTGGTCTTGGATGGGGTGGCACTACCCCAAACAGACCCTGTGTGTAATCTGGGGATTCTCCTGGACTCAACGACTCCTACTCAAAGAGCAGGTGATGGTCGCGGCCAGGAGGGCCTTCGCACAACTGCGAGTTGTGCGCCAGTTACGCCCTTTCCTGGACCGGCAATCCCTACTCACAGTCACTCTTGCCTTAAACACTTCCCATCTTGACTATTGCAATACGCTCTACATGTGGCTGCCCTTGAAGAGCATCCGGAAGCTCCAGTTGGTGCAAAATGCAGTGGGCTGCATGATTTGGTGCAGATCCCAGTGTGCACATGTATCACCTCCCCTGCAGGAGCTGCACTGGTTGCCGATTTGCTTCCGGGTGCAATTAAAGGTGTTGGTTGTCTCCTTTAAAGCCTTTCATGACCGGGGACCAGTTATCTAAGGGACCGTCTCTTGCCGGTCATATCTATCCGACCCATCAGAGTGGGGAGGCAGGGAATGCTGCGGGTCCCATCCCCGAGTGAGATACACCTGGTGGGACCTAGAAAAAGGGCCTTCTCAGTGGTGGCTCCCTCTCTCTGGAACATCACTCCCCCAGAGATTAGAACGGCCCCCCACTCTAATTCTCTTCCGGAAGGCGCTTAAGACCTGGTTCTCCTAGCGGGCCTGGGGAACCCAGAGCAGGATGGAGCCCATTAAATGGCTTGTGTGATCGGCTGTTTGCTGGAGTGGGGAGTGATTTTATTACATTAATGTATTTGATTTTTTATTAGATTTACTGTTTTTTAAATGTTTTTATATTCTGTAAACTGCCTTGAGTTGCCATGGGCGAATAGGCAGCAATATAAGTTTAATAAATAAATAAGTATTGTTTCAAATATTCCAAAGTATCAGACACAAGTATCACATTATTCTTCAACTATCTTTTAGGTTAAAAAAAAATCCCATAACATTATTAGAGGTTATCTCAATATTTCTGTTCTGATATTGGCCGAAGTATCTTGACCGAGCCCTTTTTTGGCTGTTCTACTTCTTCCATCCCTGCTTGCCTGAGGAAGGCTTCAGTGAGAGGTTTGATTGCTGCACCCAGGATGTTTGTTGCTTACAAAGTCTTGCAGTCTGTGAAGGCCAAATTCCCTTCCTTTAGCAGCTAAGATTTGTTTTCATACATAGTGCTTAATGAGTCCCTTTGTCAGAGGTTCTTTTTAAACCATACCCAGTTTGATTGACTTCATCTGAAACATCTATCAAAAGTACTGGATTCTAGGGAATTTAAATTTTGTCGCCCGATAAGGATTGTGGAGATGTTTTATTTTGAAAAAATATCCAAGATACAAAAGTGAAACAAATGTGCAAATTCTTTTTTTGTTTTTTGTCTTGTACTAGATCTATAGTGTAGTAAACATACAAACAATATGTAAGTTCTTTCTATGTTTAATTTCCTATAATAGATTTTTAGTATATTTGTACTATACAATATTCTCTATAATATACTATTATTGATATACTATTATACTATATATTATTGTCCATATAATATATACTATTTCAGTGATGGGATTCAAATAATTTACAACTGGTTCACTGCCCTAATGACCAGCTGGGTAGGCGTGACTGGGTGGTCATGTGACTGGGTGGGCGTGGCCAAGTCAACATCACTCATGTCATCCAGCCTCTCCTTGCCCAGCCACTCACCTCAACGTATCTATAGTTCTGTAAAAATGTTCATCTTTTTTCGACTTTATTATCTGCATCCTCCTGATATATAAAAGGACTTGGAATAAATAAATAAATCAGAGTTTGGTGCTACTTTCATTTATTTCATACCATGTGCTCTGCCATACTATAAACCTCTTAGATCCAGCAATGTATTACACCACCTTTAGTTATATAAATGTACTGAAATGCTCCCTATAATTGCTGATCAGCCTCACATGTTATTGTGTGGAAATGTGGGGGCATTCCTCCTTAGTGAATTGACAGTAACATTTCTCCAATCTAACCCAAGCAATCACAATAAAGAAGCAACAAATATGATGGAGCTGATTCCTGGCAACTGTTTAATGAGATTTTATTATTCAGTGAAACTGAAATTCAGTTTATTTTTAAATAGTTCATTTGATTTTCACTGTGTTCCAATATTAAATTTTAATTACACTTCTTTGAGGAGAGGCAATCTCTTAAGTTTCCATGAATGTGTACCCATCATCATCCATCCATCATCTTTGGGATTTCTATGGAATATCTTTGCTGGGTGTGATTATGATTAATTCCTTTACTTAAAAATCACTCGCAAAGGAGTAAGAATCTGCATAAGGCAAATGCATACATGCTTTAAATAAAAACCTACAATTTACTTGGACCTGCAATCTTTGTTACTCATATAGGGTTATGCATAATTCTGCCCGGACGAGGAGTTAAGCAAAATAAAACAAGGTGACTCTTTCTATATCCTAAATAAAAGATTGAAACCTAGATACAGATTATGGTAATAACAAATGAATTTGTAATGGCACAAATACACTTCTGCCTGGAGGAAATAGACTATCACTGACCAGGGGTGAAATGTAAAATTTGTTACTACCTGTTCTGTGGGCGTGTCTTGGTGGTGGTGGGGTAATGTGACTGGGTGGGCGTGGCCAACTTTTTAAATTTTTTTAAACTTTTCAAAGCATTTTTTCTAATGCTTTGAAAAGCCTCTGCCGATCAGGGAACTCAGCTGGGACTTTTCAAAGCATTTTTTTTACCACCTCTTTGGCCAAGAGGTTGCAGAAAAAAATGCTTTGAAAAGCCTCTGATGATCCCAGCTGAGCCGCACAATGATCAGAGGCTTTTTTTTTTACTTTTAAAAGCATTTTTTCATCGGAAGAGGTTGTAGAAAAAATGCTTTTAAAAGTAAAAAAAAAAGCCTCTGATGATCATGCGGCTCATCTGGGCATGGTGGGGGTGGGGGCACGCAGGGATTTTTGCTACCAGTTCTCCGAACCACCCCCTGCCATCGCTACCAGATCGGGTGATCCAGTCCAAACCGGGAGCATTTCACCACTGTCACTGACTCAATGTTTACAGTTATAAAAGTTGTTCAGGAGACACTCTTTACCCAAAGAATCTTTTTAAATGTTCTTTCTGAGCTGACTCAAATTTTTGCATCTAGTCATTTGTTGGAAAAATGTCACAATCCAAATACTAATATTCTTTATTAGGGTCCAAAGGCCATAATAAAGATTTGATTTGATATCATTTATGCCTTCCAGGCAAAAACTATTAATTGCCCAAATGTTATTTTAGAAAATACAGTCAATGTAAATTTTCAAAACTAAATTCAACAGGAAAGCTCATTTTAAATGAGAATTGCCCTCAGTCCTAAAGAAAACACACATGAAATTACTGGTGTTCTCTGTTCAGAGGGGCTAGCCTTAAAGGACCGGAGAAAGAGCTGCTACTTCTGGGAAGCGAGGCAAGTGGCCAGGAGGCGAGGTGAGTGGCCAGGTGGCAAGGCGAGCAGCCGGGTGAGGAGAGGAGTGGCTAGGAGGGGAGGGGCGAGGCATGCTATTCAGCCGGTTCGCCTAACTCCACAAAAAATGAAGAATTCCTCTTTCACAAAATAAGCCAGAATGAGGGGAAGCCCATCAAATGCATGTTCAAAAACACCTTTTTCAAGCATTTTTTCCTTAGCAATGGCATGTTTATTTCTGAGACTTTATTAAATATTGTTTTGTTCTAACTGTAAGATGTAACTGAGCCAAGAATTAACATTGCCAAGTCAGAAATTTGTTAAGTGAGTTGGCCCCATTTTACGACTCCTCTTGTCAAATTTTTTAAGTGAATCAGTGCAATTGTTAAATTAGTAACCTGGTTGTTAAGTGAATCAAGCTTCCTCATTGATTTTGCTTGTCAGAAGGTCGCAAAAGTTGATCACGTGACCCTGGGACATTGCAACCATCATAAATGTGAGTCAGTTTCAAACATCCATATGTAAATCATGTGACCATGTTTCAACAGTCATAAGTGTGAAAAATGGTTGTAAGACGCACTTTTTAGTACCATTGTAACTTCAAACAGTCAGTAAATGAATAGTTCTAAGTTGAGAACTACCTGTCTGGGAATTCAACATAATTCAACCAAAAGTAATAGAACAAGATCACATATATATCAACATATCATGTGAAAAGAATTTTAGAATGATGAATTCCTCTCACAAAAGAAACCAGAATGAGAAGTGAAATCCATGTTTAAAGACACTTTTTGAAGCATTAGAGCCATGGTGGTGCAGTGGTTAGAATGCAGTATTGCAAGCTATTTCTGCTGACTGCCAGGAGTTGGATAGTGACCGGAAGGTTGATTGAACATTCCATTCTTCTGAGACTCGTAAAATGTGGACCTAGATTCTTGGGGGCAATACGCCGATTCTGTAAACGGTTTATAGAGTGTTGTAAAGCACTATGGTATATAAATTAAAAGTGCTATAGCTATTGCTATTTTGCCTTTCTATGACATGATAATAAAGAAATCTCTAAATTCAATTTAAATAAATTGGATTTAATTGAAGTTAATTGGATTTTAATTATGGTTGAATGGAATAAAATTAATTTTGGATATAAATAAAATTAAATATAACTGGTTTGGTTGTCCATGAGACATTTTTAAATTCTTTCTAGTGAATTAAAAATTAAAAACAGAAATTTTGGAAGGATTTGGAGGGGGAGAAATCCTTCAGGTTTTCAGCCATTTTTCTTTTTTGCCTCATGGAATTTGAACTTTACGTGTACTTTGCCTTCCTGCACTTTGTAATTCCACTTTTTCTCCAGTCACCTATGAGACACCAATTTCCCATTCATCTCTCCATCATGGCGCCTTGTTTTGAGGTAAAATTTCTAAAACTTCCATGATTTTGAGCTTTCTCTCCATTTTGAAACTTGTTTCCTTTTGATGGTCCTTTTTCAAACAAGATAGTTTCTTCTGGATTCTTTCCATTTTTGCTTCAGCCACTTGCTGTTTTGAACTGCTGTTACCTGCTCACAGGCATGAATTTGAGAAGGCAGCTGAAATAATGGAAATAAAACATCAATACAAAATTGTCCTGAGCCAGGGGTGTCAAACTCGATTTCATTGAAGGCTGGATCAGCATTGTGGTTGTCCTCCAGGGGCTGGCTTGGCGGCGGGAGGGGCGGGGTGGTCGTGGCCAATGGTGGGGCCCCAGGGTGGGGCCAGCGTGACCTTGCTCCTGTGGGTGGTGTCTGTTGGGGCTGGGCAGGATTGGGGAGGGAATCTAGGGGTCTCTGGTGTAGGGGAGAGCGGGAGTCTCATGGGATGAGGTGAGGCAGGGCAGCTACAGCTGGTGTGCCTTCAGCTGCTTTTGGTGCCACTCAGTTTCCCACCCCACCCCTGACAGGTTGGTCTGGTCTGTGTGTGTGGGGAGGTAATTGCCTTCTGCCTTCTCCAAGGTTTGGATTGGATCTCTCTCCCTCTCCCTTCTTCCTCCCCTCTCTCTCTCTCACACACACACACAAACAGAGGTTGGATCAGATCACTCTCTTGACATCTTTACCTTTCTGCGGCGACAATGGTGGCACTTCAGTGCCTGGCCAGCAGGGCGCTTCTCACTCAGCTGCTTTCCCTCTTTCATCTCCCACTCTTCCTCCTTCTTCAGACAAAAGCTGCTCTTTTTGTCTGTCCATTGCAGTGTCTGTGCATTTACTTTGACAGTGGCAGAGCTTGGATGGTCAATCCCCGTTCGTGGCATGGGGAAGACAGAAGACAATTCCCCGAATCAGAGCAGACCAGCCTGGCGGGAGTGGGATGGAAAACTGAGCTGCACCAAAAGCAGCTCTCTCTCAGACATAGACATACAAACACACACAGTTTTGATCAGATCATTCCCTCGCTCTCTCACTCCAACTCATGGCGGTGGCACAAGCCATGTTCTCCACAGCGGCTGGCACTGCTTCATCCTCCATCCTCCATCTCCTTAACTTCATTCGCCTTCATTGTCACTTCTTGCTCACCACCATAACTGAGGAGGATGAGTGACGCTCTGGTGCGGTGGCCACAAAGCAAGGCGGTGGGTGGGTGGAAGACAAAACAAGATGAGGGGAAGACAAAGCAAGGCAGAGCTGCCTCATGCACTGGCTTACCTGAGGACTCACAGCCAGGCCATCAACATCCTGACAACTGCCTAGCCTCACAGCAGAGGCTCTAGAAACTCCGTCCAGGACCCCACGTTACTGTCAGCCCGTTTGTCCTTACTCACTGCAGCAATGGAGCAAGAAGCTGAGCGATGCATTTTGCCCTGGATGGGGCTGCTGTCGCTGCTGCAAGACAAGGCAGTTGTCAGGATGTTGATGGCCTGATTACGGGGTACTCAGGTAAACTGGTGCAGGGCGTGGGGGGCAGCCCCGCACCATCTTGCTTCATCCTCCACCCCACCCCACCCCACCCCACCCCCTTGCTTTCTGGCCACCGCACCAGTGTGTTGTTTGGCCTCCTGCTCCATTATGGCGGCGAGCAAGAAGCGGCGAAGAACGTAGATGAATGAAACAAGGAGGTGGTGGTCATGGAAGATGAAGCAAGGCAGAGGGTGCCCCCGACTGGCTTACCTGAGGGCCCTTCAGCCAGGCCACCCATGCCAACCCATCATCCCCCCACTCCCAGGGCAACCACATCCCTTCACTAACCTGATTTCCAGCTCCATTCGCCACCGCTGTGTCAAGTCAACAAAAGTAATCTGTGGGACTACAGTAAAAAAAGTAGTTCACACCTTCCAACTTCTCACGAAAAAAAAAGATCACGCAAAGTTGGAAGATCTGAACTATTGTTTTTATCATAGTCCCACAGACTACTTTTGTTGCCCTGCATGGAGAACTGGGGCTGAGTGTGTGTGCACCCAGTGCCTTCTGTGAGCATGCACACATGCCAGGATGCAGGGCCGGATTTAGATGAAAAGAGGCCCTAGGCTATTCCACTTATGAGGCCCTTTCACCTATAGTGAAAGTGTAATTTTAATTTTGCTAACAATTTGAATGTAGGGAATGTAGGCCCCTCTTGATCTTGAGGCCCTAGGCTGAAGCCTAGTTAGCCTATAGGAAAATCCGGCCCTGCCAGGATGCCACAGGCTGCTCTTTACAAGTTCCAGGATGGCCACAAGGGCCGGAACTGAGTTCATTGCAGGCCCATGTGCCTTGAGTTTGATACCCCTGTCCTAAATCTTCATTTTCCAATGTGTGACTCTGTCAGTCCTCTTATCTTCCCTCACTTCAGAGCTGACTTTACCAACAACATGACACAACCTGGGCTTCAAAGAGAGGCTCCTGTCCTGTTCCTTTTGAGCCTCCACAGAGATTTTCTCAATATTTACAACATCAC